GCTGTGGTTGGGTGGGTGTGGGGCTGGATGGCTGTGGTTGGGTGGGTGTGGGGCTGGATGGCTGTGGTTGGGTGGATGTGGGGCTGGTGGGCTATGGTTGGGGTGGGTGTGGGGCTAGAGGCTGTGGTTGGGGTGGGTGTGGGGCTGGATGGCTGTGGTTGGGTGGGTGTGGGGCTGGATGGCTGTGGTTGGGTGGATGTGGGGCTGGAGGGCTATGGTTGGGGTGGTGTGGAGAAGGCTGTGGTTGGGGTGGGTGTGGGGCTGATGGCTGTGGTTGGGGTGGGTGGGGCTGGATGTCTGTGGTTAGGTGGGTGTGGGGCTGGATGGCTGTGGCTGGGTTGGGTGTGGGGCTGGATGGTTGGGGTGGGTGGGGGCTGGATGGTTGTGGTTGGGTGGGTGTGGGGCTGGATGGCTGTGGCTGGGTTGGGTGTGGGGCTGGGGGTGGGGTGAATATGAGCGTAGGGTAGTGGGTGGTGGAGGAAGAAGGATGTAAGGGATGGGTGTAGGTAATGGGTAGGGGTGTGGTGAGTATGGGCGCGGGATGGTGGGTAGGGTGAGTGTGGGCACTAAGTTGTGGGTGGATGAGGGCAGTGGGTGTAGTTAGGGTGGGTGTGGAGGCGGTGGGTGGGGTGTGTCAGACCTGACAGGAGATAATTAATGAGTAATGAAAAACAGTGAGTCATTAGCCCGCCCTCACACTTACACGCCCACTTAACTCACCCGCCTTACTTATGTTCTCTTTATAACTCCGTACTTATATTTATATCATACAAGGAAATTCTAAGAGACCATTGATGTAGAATCGTATTTGGGCTCTTATATGTAGTTATTTCAAGGGAATATATATATATATATATATATATATATATATATATATATATATATATATATATATATATATATATATATATATATATATATATATATATATATATATATATATATATATATATATATATATATATATATATATATATATATATATATATATATATATATATATATATATATATATATATATATATATATATATATATATATATATATATATATATATATAGTGCAAATGAATTATATTACAACGAGTAGCAGAAAGTGTTTACTATCTATTTATAAGAGAATGTTAAGTAGAAATAGTTTAGTCATTATAGACCGGAAGTTGTCGGTATGAGAGTCTGTTTGGGTCACATTTCTCAGAGATTCGTAGGTTAAATTTTGCCCTCTAACTGCGGATCAGGAGAAACGTCGGTACAGATCCAGTGCAGTTATGACGGCGTTTTTATCCTCACATCTGTAATACACTGAACATTACCTACATTATCATATCTTTATTTACGGTGAAAATTTTTAAACTAAGAACCTTTAAGAACCCATCATTATGTCATAGCCTAAATGAGTCACTTAGATACGTATTCACATCTCCAATTACACAGATTTTTACCGAACGAACTGTCGGTAATCCATCTCTATTTCGTAGCTTAATTAAGTGAGTCAGGTAGATGCTTTCGTACCTCTAGATTTAGGAGAAAAACCTGACGTATACGAACATTCACTGTTCTGTGTTGTTGTGTTTATAGCACAGTAGTGGTATTTGGTTATAGTAGTGGTGATGATGATGTGATGTGGTGGTGATGTTGATTCAGTTATGGTGTGGTGTGGTGTGGTTGGTGGTGGTGTGAGGAAGAGGAAGTGACTTTCTTACCCCTGTTTTTTCCTTGGGAGAGAGAGAACTCATTTCGGTATGAAGTACAAGTACATATTCATATATGAAGTACAATAGTAATATATAATAGAAAACTTGAAGGTTCTTAAAAAATAAAGAACTGAGATCATATTGGAAACTTTATTTTTGGCCTTAACATCTGCATGACAAGAAATACAACTTGTATAAATATACAATATATACAGCATCATCGATATGTACAATACACCACACACAATACTGTACTCAAGTTCAATGCGCTTCAGAATTACAGCAATGTTGTAATACACTTTATAAGTTCAGTGGTTTACAGACAAACGTACAGTCCATTCAGGTCTGTACAACAGGTGTAAGAGAGGGTGCTCAGTATATCCATGCTTGTGAAAGTTTAGTTCATTATTGTACATATAGGTTTGGTACATAAGGTTAATTTAACGGTTTAGTACATCATTGTACATAGTGCACATGAAGATCTAGTACACCGGTATACATAGAAGTTTATTACATCGCTGTACTGTATTATGATGGTTTAGTACAATAATGTACATGAAGGTTCTAGTACATCAGTATACAGGAGGGTTTTGTACATCAGTGTTAAGTTTCAGTAATTAATGTACAATAAGGCACAGTGCATGAATACCAAATAAATCAGTTTACAGGAAGGCACAGTGTGTACTAGAAGGTTTAGTACATCAGTGAACGATTAAGTTTAGTACAAAGGTATACAGGAAGGTATACAAATAGCACAGTACACAAGTGTAGAAGAAAGAACAGGACAGCAGTGTACAATTACCACGACATATACGAGGTCACTGAAGCATAAGTGCACTACAGTATATATCAATACACTTGGGTAGCACCATTAAGTTTACCGCGGTAGGTGCAGCACTTATAGTACAATGGTTATTAAGGTCTTGTAGAAGATTTGTTGTAAGTTTCTGAAGGAGGAAGCAACTTAGGTCGTATTAATTTTATTCTACTGTATTTTACTTCTAATCGAATAAATAGAAATTGTTTGCCGATGTTAATAATAATAATAATAATATTAATATTAATAATAATAATAATAATAATAATAATAATAATAATAATAATAATAATAAACACTAATACTGCTTTTATTATCTGTAATGACGCTGCTAAAATCATTCAATATATATACAGGTATAAATGATAATTTTCAAATAAAACACTGTTACATAACGATCTTACCAAGAATAGGAATTGAAAATGAGACTTAAATTTATTTTATCTCAAAATTTTGAAGCCGGTAGCAGGCAGCTATCAAACAGGGAGGTACTACCGCCTGGGAAGATATTGGAAGCATAATGTGTTGTCTAATGGTAGACCCTGCTGCCATATGGCATCACAAAAATTGTGACCAAGTCCCAGGTTGCTGACCTGACTTTCTGCCTCATTTACACAATTGCAGGGTCTCAATTGTTTCTCTTATTTTGACAACACAACATACATAGTGTATATCGTTTCTCATTCTTGATTTATTTTTTTCGTTTTTGTATTTGTTTATGGTTATTATTATTATTTTTAGTATATTATTTGTATTTTTAGTACAGGTATTTTTTTATTACTTTTTGAATTATTATAATGATAATAATAGTAATAAGAGTTATTATTATTATTATTATTATTATTATTATTATTATTATTATTATTATTATTATTATTATTATTATATTTCGCCCCCAGGCCCTGATGTGGGTGAGTGACCTGTGCCCGGGTGGGCTAATCCCCGTAAAAAAAAAGAAAAAAAAGAAGCCAATTCGTGCAATTTTAAGCCAATTAGTATAATTTGGATGCCAATTCATGTAGTTTTAAAGCCAATGTGTGTACTGTACCACATCTTTTAAGTTACGAGGGAAAGATTACTTAAGACTGATTACTCTCATCAGCTTTATCTTAAGTGAGCCTCTATTTTAATCCCTCGAGTATGATCTCGACCACAGGAATATAGTGTCATCGTACTCAAAGGCCCTCGAGTACGACCATGACCACGGGAGTACAGTGTCATCGTATTCAAATTAGAAGGGACTTATAATTCAAGGGGTTAAGTAATCGTACACGAGGGTTTATGATGTCTTACTCACTGGGCTAATTCATTGTACTCAGGGGATTGAGTAATCTTGCTTAAGGGATTATGTCATCGTACTCAGAGGATAAGTCATCGTTCTCAAGGTGCTTCTCATCGTATTCAAGGGGTTAAGAGCGTCAGGAAGGAAGGTTTATAGAATTGTAATATATTATAAACATTAGACAAAATAACTGAATAAATTGTTGTTCTGTATCCCAGGAAAACAACATTTTAAGATTTTTTTTAAGTACAATATTCTCACACGTACAGTTGCGGCCAGAATTCCATGGACACCTGGCTGGATTTTAAAGTATATTGTCTGATTTTTCTTTGTATTAAGGGTTTTTTTTTCCTTTTCCGGTTAGTAGATATTAACCAGTCATACAGTGAATGTGACCAAGAAGCAGGTGCTAGATATGGCCAAGTGTTCGGGGAATTTTGTGCCGCAACTTTACACCAACTGAGAAATACACATACAGAATACATGAGAAAGACGTGTGTACATACAAACAGCTGTCAAACACTCATCTTCCTAACTGAGGCCGAACATTTACACAAACGTTATCTCTTACAATGAAATACACCGTAACTTTTCCCTCACTCAGAATCTTTTTTCCTCAGTGTCTAATTCGTCTCTCCATCCATTTTTTTCGTGACGTCATGAACACAGTATTTTTACCTCTTTTCTCTTTCATCGCCAGAAGTATTTAGTCTATCCTTCTCTATTCTCATCACATTCAAAACTCCATTTATACATCCTAAACCTTCTTCCTTTCCGCTATAAAAAAATAATTTTCCCTTCATTTTTTTACATTCATAAACTTACACCATCTGAATTAACATCTCTACATCCTAAGTCAAAACAGTGAACGATTCTTTCATTCACCAATTATTTTTTATTCATTTCATTCACTAAGACTAAAAGTGTGTTTATTTATGTTTATTTGTGAATGATTTTTTATTCTCTTCTGTTTATGTTAAAATTAGGTCGAGGCTCCATACCTGACGATACATTTTAATGCATGAATATTAGGTGATGGGTGTTTTAGTATTCAGATTTCAGACTCATTTAACCTAGCAAAACCTCACCTCCTGTAGATTAGGTTTGATTAGGTTAGGTTAGATTTGGTTAAGTTAGGGTAGATTAGATTAGGTTAAGTTAGAGTAGATTGGGTTTGGTTAAATTAGGATAGATTAGATTTGGTTTGGTTAAGTTATAGGGTAGGTTAGGTGTGCTTTGGTTAAATTGGGTAGTGTTAGGTTAGGTTTGGCTTGGTTAAATTAGAACATAATAATTACTTTATAATTAATTACCGTATTGCATTAGTAATTCTTAATGTGCCACCAGCCACGGTACCGGAGACTAAAGTATTATTTAACTCATAAGACGTTTTAATTTTGATAGTCGTAGTGCACAATAAACAGGAGCCGTGTGTGTCCGTCCGTTCGTCCGTCGTCCTCACCATGGGACAGACAGACACAGAGAACAATAAGGTGACCTCCCTCCCACTCCTGCCAGGGTCAGTAGGGATCACCTGTATCACTGTTAGAACGTGTATGGGGCAGCTGAACTCTACCACACTGTTTAGTCCTCTCAGTTACATCGTGTTCTTTTTTTCGGTTTTATCAGTTAATTTTGTCAGAACTCACAACCTTTATCAGGCACTTCATAGTGAAATATTATATTTTCACACTTCACCGCGGGAGTCCAACCATCTATGATTTATTCATCACATAACACTAGTGTTTGTAATCTTTTCCCTTCCAGGAAATAAACATCACCAACTTGTTCCATACCGGAAGTAAGCATGTTAATTTTCTTCAACAGAACGTAAACACCACTGTCTCGTTAAGGCTGGCATTAAACACCTCAGTCTTGTTCAGAACAGGAATACATTAGACATCATTGTTATGAAAAACAGTAAGCAAAATATATCTATTTATATTTCTTCAAAATATACTACTTTGTATCTCGCGCTCAGAAGCTTCTTAATATCTAATAAGTCACAAGACAAGTTCAAGATTCGCTCAGCGAAATACAGCGTCTCTGACCTTTTGAAGGACATTTTGAGAATTAAGAAGTAACACAAAAGTTTAGTATGGGGGCCCTGTTTACAGCTCACACTGTCCCCGTTGCCTCCCACACATCTCCAGAAACTTGGTATGTCTCCAAAGATCCTGGATACCCACAACTCTGCACAGGTCTCCACGGGTCTCCATAGGTCCTCACAACTCACCATAGATTCAACAGTTCCCGTAGAGCATCATAGCTGCCCACAGGTCAGATAAACTCCCTGTAAATACCTTCATCAGGAACTTTGTTCCTTCACCGCGCCAAGACCACATACAGTACTCCTCAGAGAAAACGGACGGCCCTGCCGCCAGTACCTGGACACGTGGGCGTGGTGGAGGCGTTCACGAGACACGAACTTAAGCGTTCAGACGTGCGAAAATGGGCGTACAACATAGCTCTGCTTTTGATGGCGTGGCGGGGATGACCCAAGAGTCTATCTGGAGGTGTAGTCGTGGTAGGTGGGAGGTTGACGGTACAACTGTGAGTTTAGTTGCGGTGGTGCGGGGTACGGTGGAGGGTACACAGGCGAGGTACGGGCGTAGGGTGACGCCCGTGCTTTCACTCCTCCGTAGCTGTACGGTCCGTACATGGGGCCATAGGTGCACATGTCCCCGGCGTAAGGTTGGTTGAGGGACGCACACTGTCCCCCACTACTGACGCCGTCCATACGAGATGAGGTGTTGAGCGTGGGCGTGAGTGTGGGCGGGGAGCCTTGTAACAGGCTAGTGGGTGTCATGCTGGAGCCGCACATCATCCGGGACACCAGACCACCCTCAGCGTCGCACTCGTCTGTAAGAGAGAGGGATATAGAGGTCAAGTGGGGCCAGTACGGGTCATGGCGTCTAACGTTACTGTGTATAATGCACTAGTGTGATATTAACTGCCATAAGTTGATTAATATCACTATAAGCAAAGATTTATGAATATAATACAGGTAAAAAAACCCAGTAATTTTCTGACTGTCAATATCATAAGAGTTTGTTCCTTACCTAAATACTATTGAACTTAGGTACAGTAGTAATTTCCATGCAGTGTCCTTGGTTATTAAAGGTGGTGCCTTTAACTGCCTTACCAAAGATTAAAAAAAAAGTGCACCAAAAAATCTACTAAATTTAGGTATAAAGTACTGGTGTGATGCAGCTGTGCTCTGTCACACCGCAGGACCATAACCACACATCAGCCGACTTTTACCACAGCTGGCTTCTGTGACGTCACAGATGGATGCAAACAGTAAATAAATACAATGTTGCAAATGTCAGGGGAGCGATGTTGTGTTTTGTTTTCTACTTTATTACCTCGTGCTACTTGTTACTTTTGGTTACACCACTATTATCATAGTTACACCCCTGGCCGAAGTAACACCCCTGGGCGTAGTTACACCCCTGGGCGTGGTTACATCCCTAATTAGTTACACCCCTGGCCGAAGTAACACCCCTGGGCGTAGTTACACCCCTGGTCGTGGTTACATCCCTAACGTAGTTACACCCCTGGCCGAAGTTACACCCCTGGCCGAAGTTACATCCCTGGGCGTAGTTACACCCCTGGGCGTAGTTACACCCCTGGGCGTAGTTACACCCCTGGACGTAGTTACACCCCTGGGCGTAGTTACACCCCTGGATGTAGTTACACCCCTGGGCGTAGTACACCCCTGGGCGTAGTTACACCCCTGGACGTAATTACACCCCTGGGCGTAGTTACGCCCCTGGGCGTAGTTACACCCCTGGACGTAATTACACCCCTGGGCGTAGTTACGCCCCTGGGCGTAGTTACACCCCTGGACGTATTTTAGTCGTAATCGCTGTCGTTATAGTAGTCGTCGTTATCGTTATCGTTATCGACGTAATCGTTGTTATTATCGTTGTAATTGTTGTCGTTATATTAGTCGTAATTGTTGTCTGTCGAGTAGCCGTCGTAATCGTTGTCATTGTAGTCGTAATCGTTGCCGTTACAGTCGTAAACATTGTCGTTGTAACCGTCGCTATCGTTGTTTTAGTCGTCGTAATCATTGTCATAATTGGTGTCGTAATTTTCGTAATCATTGTTTTAGTCGTAATCGTTGCCGTTATCTTCGTCGTCATAACAGTTCTTATCGTTGTTGCTACACTGGAATAACTTTTTTATTACTTTAACTTAAAGGAATTAATTCTTCACACTATAATTAATGCATTAATGATAATTTCATCTATAATATCCTTAAACATAAGACATTTAAATAATAATAATTATAATATTGATGATAATAATAACAATAATAATTATGACAATAATAATAGTATTATTATTATTAATTTTGTGACAATAATTATAATAATAAACTACAACTACTAGTAATGATAATAATAGTAATGATGATTACAGCAACAGCTGTTTGTGTTCACAGTACGAGCGATAGCACATGACGTTGGTAATACTGCCTTTCACGGCGGCGGCGGTGGCAGAAGTGTCAACATTGGTAACACTGTCAGTGGCAGGGCGGCGGTGTTGGTGGCACTGTGAACTGCCACACTTAGTGCCATCATTTGGTGGTGAGCGACGGCAGTGTCACGGCGGTATGTAAGCTATGTCACCCCACACACGCTGGCTCTCTCTCTCTCTCTCTCTCTCTCTCTCTCTCTCTCATCTGAGATCCGATGATAATAATTATGTAATTACAAAAGTTTTAAAAATCCCAGCCAGGTGTGTTCCTAACCTTGTGTGATCAAAGCCAGGTGTGTTCCTCACCTTGTGTGATCCCAGCCAGGTGTGTTCCTCACCTTGTGTGATCCCAGCCAGGTGTGTTCCTAACCTTGTGTGATCCCAGCCAGGTGTGTTCCTAACCTTGTGTGATCCCAGCCAGGTGTGTTCCTAACCTTGTGTGATCCCAGCCAGGTGTGTTCCTAACCTTGTGTGATCCCAGCCAGGTGTGTTCCTAACCTTGTGTCCAGGTGTGTTCCTAACCTTGTGTGATCCCAGTGTGTTCCTAACCTTGTGTGATCCCAGCCAGGTGTGTTCCTAACCTTGTGTGATCCCAGCCAGGTGTGTTCCACCTTGTGTGATCCCAGCCAGGTGTGTTCCTAACCTTGTGTGATCGCAGCCAGGTGTGTTCCTCACCTTGTGTGATCCCAGCCAGGTGTGTTCCTAACCTTGTGTGATCGCAGCCAGGTGTGTTCCTAACCTTGTGTGATCCCAGCCAGGTGTGTTCCTAACCTTGTGTGATCCCAGCCAGGTGTGTTCCTAACCATGTGTGATCCCAGCCAGGTGTGTTCCTAACCTTGTGTGATCGCAGCCAGGTGTGTTCCTCACCTTGTGTGATCCCAGCCAGGTGTGTTCCTAACATTGAGTGATCGTAGCCAGGTATGATAATTACACAAAAGAGGCTCCTGTAACAACCTTAACTGTATTTGATAACTGCTTTAAATACAATAACATTAATTATGAACGTATTATATTTCACTGTATTAGAAGCTGTATATAATGAAAGGGTCAGTTGAAATTATAACCTAACCTCACCTCACCTCACCTCACCTCACCTGCTATTCAAGGGATCACCTGAAGATTCGGCACCAAAGCCTTATATCACCTGATGATTAAAGACCCTAACGCTACCTGGTGGGGTTAGGTTAATTTGGGTTAAGATAGGTTAGCGTTAGGTTAGATTAGTTTAGGCTACATTGGCTTAAGTGGAGCTGGGTTATGATAAGTTAGGTTAGTGTTTAGGTGTTTAATCATGAGGTGAAATAAGCTGGGTTGCCTAAATTTCAGGTGATCCCGTGTTTAGGGTCACGAATATTGTCCCGACAGAAGGGAATCGTCCGCACCGATGAGTTTACTGAACCACTGAGACAGGTGGACGGTGGGAGACAGGTGGCCTCTCATATTGGGCCTTGACACTGTTAATGGGAGGCTGTGTAGGTCAATTTCCTCGTGGGTCTTCCTGGCACACACACACACAGCTCAGAGTTGCCAACTACTGTACAAGGCGTAGTGGCTGCTGTGGTTTTGGTGGTAATTGTCAGGTGGAGTGGGCGGGCGTGTGGATAGGAAGTAGGGTGGGCGTGTGGATAGGAAGTAGGGTGGGCGTATGGATAGGAAGTAGGAATAGGAAGTAGGGTGGGCGTGTGGATAGGAAGTAGGGTGGTGTGGATAGGGAAGTAGGGTGTGGATAGGAAGTAGGAGGTGGATAGGGTGGGCGTGTGGATAGGAAGTAGGGTGGGCGTGTGGATAGGAAGTAGGGTGGGCGTGTGGATAGGAAGTAGGGTGGGCGTGTGAATAGGAAATAGGGTGGGCTTACGGGTGTGAATTGGGTGGGCGTGTGAATATGTGGATAGGAAGTACATTAAGCAACTAATATTTTAAGACGTAAACACGATAATAAACTGCCAATAATAACGCTAAATAAACCACCTGCATATTATTACACGGGGCAGATGTACTGTAGTTTGTCTTGATATGGCTTTATGGTTATGAGTGAGGGAAGGTTGTGACGCTTTGAGTTAAATCAGGAGGAAATGCACTCAGGTTTCCATTAGCCTTGGTTCTTTACTCTTTATCATGATGGTTATGTTCCTCTCGACGAGCAACACACACACACACACACACACACACACACACACACTCTCTCTCTCAGAATCTTGTACATCTGTTTCTCAATCCCCCTCCCTACCCATCGATTCTTCTCCTCCCCATCTCACCTCTCTTCCTCCCATCATCATCCGTTCTTCCTTCTTCCTCCCCTTTTCCCCTCCATCCATCCTTCTCTCCCTCCCTTTCCTTCTTCTGCCTCTATCTATCCCTCCCTCCCTCCCCTTTCTCCCCTCTCCATCCATCCTTCTCTCCCCTCCTCTTCTCCCCCCCACCATCCATCTGGCGGGGGTGACACACGAGTGGCCGGAGTTGGCTGGGAATTTTTATTTGGCATCTTGGATCACAAGAGAACTGCTACAACCACTTATCCCCCGGGCACACCCCGAGACTCCCGACCCAGGCACCCAACCCACGGCCCTCGACACCTGGCCTGGTCACCCTTACCACCTGATGGGAAAAGGGTCAAAATGGTACAGAATCTAGGTCGCGGATGAACGCCCCTGTGGCTGGCCGCGCTTGGTGAATCGTTCAGCAAGTTTTATGGGCGACATTAGCTAAGGTAAAGAGTCAGTCCCACAAGGCAGAATGACAAACATTTTAGTTAGTCGAGAGAAACAATCGTGGGTTTGCCCTCGGGATGAACACCAGGCCCCGCGGGGCATTAAAACCCTGGCTGGCGAAGACGATGTTAGGGGCTTTACCGGGGCACTGCTGCTGCTGGGACTGTCCGTTCGATCCTAGGGCTCTAAATCTTTGGCGCCGGACTCATTTGCATACTCCACGCCTGTTACCGCTCTACACCGAGTACCGGTATTTTAACTAACACTAAGTTAAATCCTTCTTCCACCTTCCACAAAAACAAAAAATTTTTCCCGCAGTAGATCTGAACGATGGAGCTTTATATATATACAGTGACCTGCGGTGAGCTTCGTCCTGATGCTGCTGCTCTTCTTGAGACATTCACCGACCATAAACATGAAGAATAGACGACATAAATAAATAATAGACGACATAAACATCCTCGGGGAATCACGGCAGCGGGCGGGACGGGAGGTAAAACTCAGTGACAACCGTGTGGCATCATCTCGCGTCGCCCACCTTGGAGAAGTTGGCACTAACCTTCTTAAAGGCTAATTAGCTTGAAATATGAATACAATTATGGGGAGGGACTTCCGAATGAGCAATAAAGCAGATATATAAGACAGTGAGCGCCGCACATTCACCGC